AGAGCAGGGTCCCAGTGACACCGCTTACTCTGAGGGCTTCACTTTGGGCCTGAGCAAACTCAGTGAACCTGATATCACCACTGATATTCTCCACTGTAACACAGCTCTTTATGCCCAGACTGATGCAATGACCTCCAACTACACCATTGTTGCAACCCAGGACAAACCCACTGTGATGGCGTCTCAGCTGCAGAGGCAAATGTCTGAGATGGAGCAGAGCGAACTCAGGGAGGAGAAATCAATGTACGCATTTCCAACTGAAGAGGAGGCTGTGGCAGAAGCTCAGGGTGAAGAATATATTTCTGAGTCTCAAGAGAATGCAGGGGGAAGTACCACTAACGGTCAAGCTCAAGATGTTGCAGTCATGTCAAAGTCTAAGGAAGAGGAGGATACAGCTGCATCTCACACTGGTTTCAGGGGTGACACAGGCGAGTCTGAGGACGAGGAGAATGTTGTGGAAGCTCAGACAGGAGAGGAGGGGGCGACTGATTCTCAGGCTGATGAAGAAGAAGAGGATGATGGAGTTGATTCCGAGCCTGAAGAGGATGGTACGACCAGGTCTCAGTCTGAGGAGGTTCAGCCAGACTCTCGAACCCAAGAAGAAGAAAAAGAAGAGGATGCTGTTGAATCTCAAATTGAAGAGGAATGTGCTGTTGATGCACAGCGTGAGGAAGAGGAAAAAGACGAAGATGATGCAGTTGACTCTCAAAGTGACGAAAAAGAATCTGCTGTGGATTCTCTGCCGGAGGAGGAGGAGGAGGAGGAGGAGGAGGAAGTTGCTGAGGAGGAGGAGGAGGAAGATGCTGAGTATGAAAGTAATCAAGAGGATCCTGCAGAAGTTAGTGTGTCCCAATTTAAACCTGAAGATGAGCATGATGGTGAGGAGGTGGAGGAAGATGGTGAGGAGGAGGTGGAGGAAGATGGTGAGGAGGAGGTGGAGGAAGATGGGGAGCAGGCATCAGAACAGCTGGATGGAGATCTTGAACACATCAGTCGAAGGGCTCATCGCTCTGAGGGAGGACTTGTTGTGCCGGTTACCGAAGAAGAGGGGGATCTGGCCGATGAACCCGAAGCAAGTAAGGAAGTATTAACAAATATTCTATTTAATGGGTGATGATGGAATATAAAGACACAGAGACATCATTTTAATCAGCTACGTGGCGTACGTGTAATTTGTTTGGCCCAAATTTAAAACTATAAAATGAGTTTAAATTAAACATACCATAACCTGTGGTAAATGTACAGAAATCATGCCTCGTTGGGTTTATTTGAAATATGTTAGCCAAAATAATACAAGTTTAAAAAAAAATGCAAAGCTTTAAATAAATATCCTAACTTAAGAATGTAAGTCTCTGTTTCTTAACTCGGTGTTCTTGTTTGTAGGATTGTCTGACGGCAAGAGCAAAGCATACACTACTTTCGATCTACAAAACAGCGCAGAGATGGGAAGCCATGAGAGCGGTCCGCCTCATGCCGGGACCCCTCACTCAACTGAGTTCTCTAACCATGGACAGAGGGATGCTTCCGAGGCTGAAAAAGAAAACTCTTTTGATCCCCCGCCAGTGACGCAGGATATTGAAGACAATGGGCAAATGAGTGACGAGTCACCTGAAGAGGCTGCTGCTCAGGAGGAGGAGGAGGAGGAGGAGGAGGAGGAGGAGGAGGAGGAGGAGTGGGAGGAGGAGGATGAGGATGAAGAGATTGAAGGTCTTGCCGTTTTGCAAATCAGGTTTTTTTTTTTTTTTTTTTACTAATTAGAATGAGTCCTAAACATCTTGTGTTTATTTGCTTAAATCTTCAGACGCACCGAGCAAGACTCCAGCATTTGTCAGACAGAAAAGAGACCTTCTTCGCCCCGATCCTCTGGCCTCGCCTTCTGTTCTTAAGAATATTCAAGCCAGGCAAGCATCCGTACCTGCCACAGTGATACATTTTGTCCCTTTTACAAACATGGCTGCAATAATTGAATGATTTAAAAATGACATAAATATATGTTCTGGAGCTGATCAAATATTGTCCTACTGGTACAGAATGTCAGACATCAAATGTAGCTGAAACAAATCTCTTAACAAGTCTCTTGTTCCGCCAACAGTGCAAGTGACAGCGGAGGTTTGCCTGCACCTGCACCCAAGCAGGTGAGGAAGAGGAGGGAAGGTCCGTCGAGAAAGGCTGGAGGTCTTCCTAAGAGCTACCTGATGAATATCTTCAAACACTTTGCCAAAACAAAAGTCTCCGCAGATGTTTACCCCGTCCTACAAGAAATGTAAGGAAACTGTGACATCAGTCAAATATGGAAGACATCGTGGATACCCCATCATGTACAGTACAAACACTTGTTTCATTCTATGTCTTTCTCAGAATGGATAAATTCTTCGAGCGGCTTGCAGACGACTTGGAGACGTACGCAATTCACGCAAGGAGAAAAACCATCGAGGTGGAAGACGCTGAACTTCTGTTGAGAAGGTAGGCGTGCTGTGTGCTCCATTCTTTGTGCATTAAGTTACAGGACGGCCTGAATGACTTTTTTGAACAAAAGTTTTTAGTATGACAAGAAAATAAAACAGAAGAGTCAATGTCAACAGTCTTACGAATTAGGTTGATGGTTACGCAGACAAATAGTTTGCCATGAGGTAGATAACTAAAAACACTTTCAGTGTTTAGAAACAGCTATATCAATGTAAAAGACTATTTCATACTTACACTCAAACTTTAATGCTGGACTTCACTTACAGTTTTATCATTAGGGCGGGATTGAATAAAGTAACTCCACAATCTTCAAACATGCCTTAAGGGAATATTCGGCCACTAGGGGGCAGTACAGAAAGATCTATGAAGCACACCATGAACATAAGAAAATAACAGTATTAATGCAAATTAATTTCTTATAGGTGTGTACAGATAGTTGTTCAAAACCAGAGGACAAATAGCAACATAAGCATTCATTGTAGTCCTGTTTTTGGCAACCTGACCAATGTGATAGTTTCAATATTTATTCTGCCCTCAGTTCTGTTTGGATCTAAAACAACTTCTGAAACATCTCATTCTGTTTACTAAATAATCTTGCATAACGTTAACCAGCTAATCACCAACTTCTTGTTAGTCTTGCCTGATGCTTGTGAAGGCAGAGAACTGTTTGTTTTTAAGGCTCCTTGGCTGAAACACCTGCTTGTACTGATCTGAGATTCTTATTACTTTATACTGCAACACATAAAAATAAATCTCAGGATTCAAACATTGATCACATCAATTTATAAAGAAGAACAGGAAGAGTTATAGGGAGGGAGGGATGTGATACTGTGAGATTATAGTAAAAGAAATAAGTACTGGTGCAGAAAAAAGTGTGTAAAGCAAACAATTATATTGACCTCTGGGTGGCAGGCTTGAGCTCCATGTAGTGATGAGTGTAACCTGAGCAGAGAAAATAGAAAACAGTATACAGCCGACTTTAAAACGTGCCTGAGGCTTTGAAATATGTTTCTCATCTTTGTTGAACTTGTGTATTGAAGGCAGGGTCATGTGAGCGACAAGGTGCCAGTGGAAGTGCTGATTGAAAAATATCTGCGTATGGACCAGCGCAGGCTCCTGATCCCCATAGCAACCAGTGGAAATGTTGTTTTCCCTAAAAAGCGGAGATGAATGTTGGAGTTTACCTTTTTATTGTATTTTTTTTTTGGCTCTGGTTTCATCTTGTGGACTGCTTCAGATTCACTTTACGCTGCATTTGATGTAAATATGTTTCATAAGCCTGAAATCTTTTATGTGATGTATGTGTAGGCTTTTTCTGTCTTATTATCTATTTCTGTAAAGGCTCAAGTTTGTTGCTTCTCTGCCTTAGTGTTTTCCTTCTCTTGTTTAGACGGCCTTATTCAGCGAAGTTTCAATCTGTAATAAAACTAATCATAATACACATCAATGCTATTTGTCAATTCTCCATTCATTCATTTGTATATGACCACCATGCTTCACTTCACAGATTAAGGAAAAAATCGCACTTGCATTATGCAGTCATAAAAAGAGTTTTATTGATTTAAGATAAAAGCTCGGTACTAAAGAAGAAAAAAGGAGGGATTTTCAAGATACTATGCAGCATTTAGTTGGATTTAAATAACTTCCAGGTCTTGATAACTATTGAAGAACGGTGATGGAAAAGTTATTCTGGGGTTATTCTTTAATGTAGTTATCTGAAAAAGTTAACAGAATGTTTTTTTTTTCTGACTGCAATAATCTTTGTTTACATGAGCAGTGTGGAAAAAAAAAAAACAACCTAAGCCTGAACAGATGTATAAACTCATGATAACACCTTTTTATGACAGATGTTTTACATGCCTTCTTAAAAGTCTGCTATGGAGAGTGGACTTAAACTTCCTCAAAGACAACTTGACCATGTTGAATCTAACCCTGGAGCGACAAAGCATAAAAACTTTAAACTTAGCATGTTATTATACAAATCTGGCTGTTGTATTATGATGCATGATATGAAGAAATCTGACAAGTCTCGCATTGATTTCTGGAAAGGATTGTCATTTTGAAAAAGGTAATTATGTAAGATACCTGGAATCAGTTGAACTGGTTTAAACTATTTTGATGTTTCTTTATGACAAGCTGTTTTACGGAAAATGTCATCAATTCATCAGCATTGGTATGTTTGCAGATAATCTTAAAATAATGCACATTGTAAGGGTGAAAGCTGTATGAAAGATTCCTTCAGGGTGAGACGATAAAAAAATTACAGATTCATTATTTCTAATCTTGGCACAAGGCAAGAGCTCAAAATATCCGCTGATTAAATTGAAATATATTGTGTTTCAAAGGTATTAAAAATCACTTCACCACATTTAAACTATTGTCAAAATAAGGGCTACACATAATGCTTGATTCTTAAGAAGGAAAAAAAAAAACATGCATATGGTTGAATATAATCCCTATAATGTTGATTCTGAGTCATAAACTGATATTCTTCCGAGGCAGCAGGGGGCGCTCTGTACAAGACTCTCCTGGTCTACTACTTTTACAGAAAGGCTAACCTGCTAGCAAACAACAACAGAAGATCCCGGACTACTATCGTTGTAATTAAACCCAACACAAAGGTAAGACCATCGACACATGAAACAGAAAGCTTACTTTAGAGTCAAAATTCTGATAGTAAAACATGAGAGGATGTTGTGTGGCCTTTTTAGTGAGTGTTTTCCGTCATTTTCCCCCCCGACCTTTTTGTGAGGCTTAGGCTAAATGCTACATTGATAGGGCTAGCTTGACGAATACGCTATCATCAAAATGTCTGGATTGTTTTTTTTGTATTTTTTCTTTAACTGTTGTGGTGATACATCTTGTTGTCGTTTTATTTGTCTTTTATTTTAACATGGAGACACCAGTCTTTACGCGAGACTTTAATAAGGAGTCAATTTTAGATGAAGTAGCGTAATAATCTGTATTAGCAGGTCAACTACTGTCTACGCCTACATGGACTCCAGAGTTTCATTTACCATCAACACATGACACATAAGAAAGATGGACAGCAAAAAAAACAAAAACAGAAGGGTGATAAGAGTGAAGTAAAGAAAACATCGCTCTGTTCTAGTCTTCGACCATAAATCATTAATGTGGTTAATACAAAGATGACAGGGATGAGATTATCTGTGTCCTGATGATACTAATCAGAACTATTATGAAGTGTTGAGATGCACAAAAAGTTTATTAAAACAAATAATGTTGTTGGAGTAGCTCTTCTCTCAATCTCCTCTGAAATCATATTGACAACGTTTAAGTGTGTTAGGGCAGATAGATAGATAGATAGATAGGGAGGGAGTAAGAGAGTTATCTTCTAAACCTGGCAGATCAGATCATGCACAGTGGTATACATGAGTCAGGTTCACTGGAATCTCTACGGCGGCTGGGAAGTGCAAAGCAAAAAATTACAAATGTGAGACACATAAACATTTTTAGAAAACAAAATTACAAAACCGAAAACACTTATACCAAGAAAAAAAAAACACATTTACAGCTTATAAAATAAATTTACAAACGACAGAATCTTGACAAAATGGGAATGTACCAAATGTCGGAAGTGATGGAGTGAGGGGTAATTTTTGTTTGTTTTGTTTATGTCGCGGTACATTCCCTTTCCGTCAAGATTCTGTCGTTTGTAAATTTGTTTGGGGGACTGGTAAATTTGTCTCAGCGATTGTAAGTGTTTCACGTCTTGTAAATTTGTTTTGTCCTTGGTAAGTGTTTTTTTTTTTTTTAATTTAGTTTCATAAAATGTACAAATGTTTTTCAAACTGTAAATTTGTCTCACATTTTGTAAAAGTGTTTAACACTTTGTAATTTTGCTTTGCACTTCCCAGCCACCGTAGGAACCAGACCAACACCACACCACTGACTGAAGGGTTTTGTCTATCACTCATGCAGCCAGGCAGGTGTTGAACACTGTTACATTACGTTAGCATTGATATCTTTATCTTTTATCGTTCTACTCATATATTTTATTACTATGTGTAAAAACTGCTCCGGACAAGGGTTCATTCAGCTTTATACAAAACAGTTTGTGACTGTTGTAAGCGATGAACCTACAAAGTAAGTAAAGAGTCTGAAATATTGAAACACATAATACATTTTTTTAAAATATGTAATATTGTACAAAAGATTATCCTATGATGCATTTTTAATGTATTAACTTTATAAAATTAGAAGGAAATTCGTCTTTTCAATCTGTTATTGAGACATGTTACTCACTTGGGCTGCTAGATTATTGCAAACATCATCATCATCATCATTTTGATTGATATTGATTTACAACATCAGCATCACATGCATTTATTGTACGTATTACAACACTTTAACATTCTGAACAATTTGAAAGACAAGCAATACATGAAAATAGATACATAATAAAAATATAAACATATACCAATAAAAATATAATAACAAACACTGAATCATGTAAGTCCCATGACAAAACGAGAACAACACGGCTTTTGGTACAGTAATCGTTTCATCTCGATGATCTTTTTTCATGATCATGGGAAGCCAAGATCGCAGTTAAAATTTAAACTCGATTAATTGCCTATAACTACTACTCACACACACATAGACCCGAAATACACACATGCACAAACAGGGCCAATGGACATGCATTAATGGAGAGATGTCAGAGTGAGGGGGCTGCACACACAATTACTTACTTTACTGCTAAATACTTAATTACTTGGAATAGATTAATGTCAAGTTTAGCCAAACCAGATTGCTTTCCAAAATTGTCTTAAGATTATGTGATTAAGAAAATCAATCATCAAATCATTTATCTGTATTATTCATTTACAATGTTAATTTCAAGATCAGGATTCTTTATTATCTCAGAGGGCCAATTTGCTTTACAGCCAGCAGTACCAAACAAACCTGTAGAAGAACAAAAGGAAAAGTGCGATTAATCAGAAAAAAACATAATTGATTAAAAAGGGCAGTGGTAATGAATGAATATCATAAATAAAATTAAGAGGATCATTTTTGGACACACGGTAAGAAAAACAAAGTAGAAGATAGACTCAGTTATATTTGAACACGTTTGCTTGCCCGCTTCCATCGCTGCAACATCTGTTGGTTTGCTGTTTGCCTGGTAAACCAAGGGGCGTCCAAAATGGCCGTGTGGGGATGTCTTAAAACCGCCTACCTTCTCTGGTCAAAACAAAAACAAACCATTCCAGCCCGGAGATGAAACTTAAGAGGACATACTGGCTGCTTCATTGTTGAAGCCAGCCCTTCAACATAGTATGTTTCTTTAATGTCTGATGATGTAAGGTCATTGTATAATTAAATTCAATCTTACATATTGCTCCTTTAATGATAGAAATAGAAATAGTGTAGCCCTTCTTCCCTACAGATCATCTAAAAGCTCAGTGCTGGACTTCTTGCTCTGCAGCCTGCAGGAGAGTCTGCCCTTAGAGGTCAACATGTCAAGTGTTACTGTTGGTAAAGGTATGAACTAGGTGACTGGAGACATTAGAAATGCATTGATCCCCCCCCACCCCTTAACCTCCCGTGTCTGGAGAATTGAGGAGGGCTTTACTGAGGAAGTGAAGGCAGGAGTTGAAGCCGAGGTGCTAACGCTTTTTTTGCCCCGTCAAATCCCCTTCAATGTAATTGTGGGTCTGCACAAAGTCAGGGATGAAAGCGAGGCGAGCCGATCGCTGTAGCAAAATCAATAGTTCATACCTCTGTGAGATTGAGTTTTTTGGAAAGGAGGGCAGAATATGAAATCGCTGCCACAGAGGACCAGCGCGCTTGGTGCAATCGATTCTGGGTCCCTGCACCAATTATACGTTTAAGGTTTGTCTGTGGCTTTCTGCAGTCCTCAAAGACCACAGCTTTGGAAATAGACATTGTGTTCACTGACACATTGACAACGGTTGCAATTTTTTTCCATCCCCCTTGGATATAGGTGTCTGAAATGCCTCCATTCCTCCAGTCTTTAATTTAGCCCAGAGATTGATTTGTCCTTTCCTTGCTGTGGGGGAGTGAAATGTCAGGCAAAAAAAAAAACACACTGCGGTCATAACGTCATTTTATGTATCATATCCTAACACATACATCTTGCTTTTTTTGGTTTTGGACTTTACTTCTTACAAAACAGGGTGGCTAAAAAACTGCTGTTATTTTCAGTCCTTTTGACTCCACAAGATTCAAATTGTTGAAAGGATCAGAGGTTGAGAATTTGAGTGAGTTAGTGACATTTGTCTCCTGTTTGGTAGGATTTTAAGTTACGCTCTTTAAATTTCAAAAAGCTAATGTCTATGTGTTTACATTATAATACAAACCGCTCCTTACACGTACAGTGCTGATGAATTATTTGATTGCCAAAATGCTGCAGACAACTTTCAATTTTTATCACCTGCCTTTGAGTCCTGCTGGCTGTAGCTTGTGTTTTGTTTTTGCAGACTTCCGAGTTCTTGATGAATTTATCTCAAAAATAGGTTGAATTGGTGCTGAATGCAACGGAGGGAGAAAACTTTAACATTTCATTCTTGATTTGGTTCAAGTGGTTACTATTGTCGCCACACTTGTTGTAAACACATCAGCAAACATTTTTTATTGAGCAGCTACTTTGTCAACAATACAAAAGCAACTGGTGTTTCAATTATACCATGAGCAGCTTTCCACAAAACAGAAGGGCAGAGTAAAGTTGTTTATTTAATGGGAAGTTTGATGTAGCCTGTCACTTAAAACTAATGTTACTAAGCTACTGCTCCCTAGAAAGTTAAGACAAGGATCATTTTCTCCTTTATTTCCTTCAGCTCCTTCACTATAAAAGCAAACTCTTGTTTTCCAAGTTGTAAACATACAAAATGTTTTTTTTGGCTTTTTGTGCCTTTATTGTCGGGATAGGATAGTGGATAGAGTCGGAAATCAGGGAACTAAGTCATTTAAGGATACCTCTCCGATAGAAAAGGACAGCTGTCATTAAAAGTAACCCATGAACACCAAGATTTCTTCAAGTGTTTGTGTCGGCGTGTCGGCGTGTGTGTGTCCCCCCTCCCCCAACGCTGTAAACCTAGGGGAAACACTGATACAGTATTAAAAACCGATTTGATCACAAGAAGGGAACCAGGGAACCCAAACTGTGTAAAAGGTGCTGGTGGAGTTTCAGTGGAGTGTGAGTTTTTCATCTTTGTCCACCTGTCCAAAAAGCTTTTCCTGAATTCTCTCTCATCAAACCTCTCCCTTTCTTTTTGTTGCAATTTATCTCTGACTGGACACACTGACGGTGGCCTATCTTTCATTTGCCACCTGTTTTTTCCATTTGGCTTCTCTATCACTTTACTTTTCATTTTCTCTCCCTTTACCCCCCTCTTTTATCTTTGTCTCCCTCCATCTCACCAGTTAACATTGTTTCAGTATAAAGAATATAGGTTGGGTCTTCCTTGGATTTGTTTTAAAAAGAGAGTCTGGAACCTGGGTAAGCAAGTGTTGGGTAGGGACTGTTTTGTGTTGGCTTGGCTAATGTAATTATAGGCACGGATAAACACAGTGGCATAGCAACTATTTCTCTGGTTAGTCTTTAAACTCTATATTTGGGCTTGAATTAGGACTGGGTACTCAAAGAGTTAACTGCCATCTTTTATATTTCCTGAGTTTCTCTCAGATTTTATCAACTCCCCTTTTTCCCTTATTCTGATTTTTTTCCCGTATTTTTTTCTCTCCATGGCTTATTGTCCACTTTGAATGAGTCTTAGCAGTATCACTCAGTTCTTGCAGAGTTTTACTTTTAACAGGGTGTTATTTCTGCTTCAAACATCTTGTCCACCCTGACAGGTGTTTTATTAACTTGGGGCTTTGCAGCAAATGTCCTCCTGTTGCTGTGTGGATGATAACATGGAAAAACATACAATTTGTACGCAGTACAATAAATAAGAGACGTTTGTTCCAGATTTAAATTCAAGGTACAGATTTAGCACGGGGTGATTGATCCTATTATTTTTCACAGTTCTGGATTTTTGTCTTATGAAAGCAAGATAATCGATAAAACGATGATTGTGTTATGGAATAATGCTCTCATCATGTCTGGTGTAACAATTAGAGAACAGCCTTTACCTTTGTGCGGTGGAGAACTATACTCCGGCTTGATAGACAGCAGGGAAAAATCGTTTTGATGTCAAGATTGCCTTCATTTGTTTTCTTGTGATCTATTTAATATCTGACTGTGAACTCTGTCTGAGGACTGTGGAAAGTAGAAATAACGTTTCATCTGTCTGCAAAGCCAGTTTCACTGTGACGTGCTTTCTTGTTTACCTGAATTAATCATAAATTGCAGAATTAATACAACATCATCGATTAACCATGTTAAGAAAATCTAGGTCTCAATATTAAGAATACATTACAATGTTTGTTAATAAGATTTTTTGCCATAATTGAGAAGCCCTTCATTTTTTCCATCTTTGGTGAATAGGAAGGTAGATGTAGTTTTTCCGATAAGAAAACATGCATTAATGTATAAATACTTTTGAATTGACAGGACATTATCAAAATCTTGCCAAACTTCTAATGGTAAAGATTCTTAAACATTTTCTTTGTGGCCCGCTCCAACGTCCTCTGATCAGTTGTACACATGCATGGAAACGTATTTGCCCTTTTTTTAATTATTCAGAAAAAAATAATTCTCAGAGGTCTGAAAATAAGTTTTGTGGCAGCTTGATGTTTGCTGTAAAATTGAAAACATGCTCAGTTTATTCAAAGGGGCTCTGAGGCTGAAAAAAACGATTGTCTTATAATCATGGCAGTAAAATGTTTTTAAAGGAGCAGTATGTTATGATATCTACTGGGTTTTTAAGGCACCACCACACGGCCGTTTTGGACGCCCATTGGTTTGGTGTTGCAGCGATGGAAGCCGTCAAACCAACTAGTTCAGATATAACGTATTCTACCTGACTCAAGACTGATGCAGAGCTGGCTAAACACTGAAGCTTTTATGTTTGCGGCAACCCGCGTGTGCATTGACTCTAAGTGAGGGGGCGGGGGGGAGACGGCTCTCTCCAATGTTTAGAATTTGGACTGCAGTATCGACCCAAATTTAATTTGTTAATGAAGACATTAAAGGCCCTGGGTCTGAGAGAACGGGGGAGATGGATGAAGAGTAAGAGTAAAAGTGAAAAAGAAAATAAACAGTGGAGGGGAAAATGGCCACAGATTACCGGGGGGGGTCCTGGTCAAGAAGCTGGGAGTAGTGTTGTATAGGAGTGCAGTGTTTCCCCTACCATTATGTTACCACCCCCCCCCCCCCCCCCCCAAAAGGTAAAGTAAAGTAAAGTTAAGTAAAAAAAATTTGGGGGCTTTTTGTGCCTTTATTGTAGAGATAGGATAGTGGATAGAGTCAGAAAGTCATTTAAGGATACCTTTCCGATAGAAAAGAACTGTCATTAAAAGTAACACAACACCAAGATTCTTTCAAGTGTTTGTGTCGCCATGTCGGCTTGTCCCCACCCCCCCCAACGCTTTAAACCTAGGGGAAACACTGGAGTGGAAACAGCAGTGTTCAGGCCTGACCTTGCAGCAGGATGAAAAAATGTTTCTGGCACTGAGTCAAGTTTGGGTCCAGTGCTGGACGGGTAATTTGTCCTTATCTTTTTCATTATGTGAAGAAATGAGGGCAGTACAATACCTGCACTCCTTTATCACACAATTAAGCACTGACTCTGACCTCTGTGTCTTTTAATCTGAGAAAGACAACGGCTTCTGTCCTTGTGGTCCTCACTAACGCTTAACTTTGTCTCGTGATGGCATTTTGCAGTGGTTTGCATATATCATTTTATCATCTTCACTGCTTTGTGAAAAGTGCATTAGTCACTGACGATTTACTGTTATTGATTTACATACAGGAATACTCAGACGAGTTACAGCAACAGAAGTGTGCAGAAAACTCAACAATTAGCCAGTCCAGTCCCATACCAGAGGACTTTTTGGTGGCAGTTCATGAACAGCTGAATATCTAGAATTCATTATTTAGTTAATCAGCTAAAGACAGTTCACTCCAGTGTGCATAGCTGTTCATTTCCATCCAAAGGAGATCAGTGTCCAGGAGAAAGATGATACAGGTCAGAGTTTTTTTTTAAATAGATGAAATATTTATTGGCATTAAAAGGAACAGTTAATGATCTTGCAGAGAGCCTGGCATCAGGGTTACCCACACACATAGAGTTTGTGATCATGCTGGTGAAAAGAGTTTGTGTATTTTGAGTTAGGAAACATGCACACAATACCGCACAAACTTCCTGTGTGACTTGAAGCTAATTGGGAAAACTTGGATTTGGCCGCTCTGCAGCTCTGACCCCCACCACAGCTTGTTTATTTACAGTACATTTTTGAGACTTAATTGCGATTGCGGTGAGTATTGATCTCGAAAAACAGGCTCGGATCATCGATCTCTTGCTGTCCCCCGAGTGGGTCAGGGACAATTCATCCAGCCCCGGCCACACCACAAACCCGAGTGCAGAGTGTGTGTGGACACATGAATTAAATGATATTCAATCTTAACTGGATCAGTAAAACAGTCAGTGCCTGTGTGTTGCATCCTAATGAGCTGAGCTGAATGTGTTGGATTGTCTGGCCTCTCTTTTGTTTGAAGTTCTAAAAGATGGGATTGAATTTCCAGTCTTATCAATTATCTCTCTCACATTGTCTGTTTCTAGGGGGCAAACTGCTTCCATCTGGCGAGAGCTGATGCAGATGGACGTCAGAACTGAGCATTGACGAGTGGAAGCGACAGATTCCTCCGCATTCTCACCCTCTTGCCCCCAACACCTTCTGTCACGCTGGCAATGTCAAGAGTCCCGAGTCCCCCTCCCCCTGCGGAAATGTCCAGCGGGCCTGTGGCCGAGAGCTGGTGTTACACTCAGGTAATGTGAGCAGAATAGATCACACCAGTTAATTTGATTCAGTTAATACTGTAAATAGAAATAAACGAGGTCTTTACTGAGTATCTTTTCATTTATCAGATTAAAGTGGTGAAGTTCTCATACATGTGGACCATCAACAACTTCAGCTTCTGTCGTGAGGAGATGGGGGAGGTCATCAAGAGCTCCACCTTCTCATCTGGGGCCAATGACAAGCTGAAATGGTGGGTATCCACAAATCAGTGATTCAGTATGGGTATTCTTACAGCGTTGTATGGGAAGTGGACTTGCTGGGAAACATCTGTAAAGTTCCACCTTGTCTTATCAGTTTGACAAGTTCACGTTTGAAAATATGACTGGGATTCTGTCTTATACAGGGCTTGTAATCTTTATTAATATTTTATCCCTTTTATTGAGCAAAATAAAATAAAAAAACACCTCAGAAATCAAACTCTACACAGCACAACCCTGTGAATTATCTGTAAGTCTTGATGCAGAAACCAAAACTAGACTAAAACTAAACTAAAACTGTGGTTTAAAAAACTTTTCTCTAGGGGTACCAGTGGCGCAGTGGTTAGTTCGCATGCCCAATGTATAGAGGCTATAGTCCTCCAAGTGGGTGGAGGACTATAGGTTCAAATCTGACCTGTGGCTCCTTTCTCGCATACAGAGAATCTTGCAATCTTGGAAGAAAAAAAAAAAAGAATTCACAATAAACACTTCTCTAATAGTTTCCCTACATTAAAAAAAAAAAAAAAACAGTTGCTTTAATGTTTTTCATTAATTTCTGTCTCAATAAGGAGAAAATGTCAGACACCAAGTATGAGATAATTTTGTTTCTCAGCCGTAATAACAGTAGGTTCTCTACTCGTGACCGTTTTATGGCAATCAATTAAGTACTTAAAAGTGTCCTATATAAAACATAACAGGGTTACAACTGTATAATCTCCATGCCCTCTACTTAACATCTTGGCTTGTTAACCTTTCACCACCTTTAGGTGTTTGCGTGTAAATCCTAAGGGCCTGGATGAGGAGAGCAAAGACTACCTGTCTCTCTACCTGCTGCTGGTCAGCTGTCCGAAGGCGGAGGTACGCGCTAAGTTCAAGTTCTCCATCCTGAACGCCAAGGGAGAGGAGACTAAAGCCATGGGTGAGTCAGCTGAGTCTGCTTGGACTTTAAACAGCACCAGAGTCTACAAGAGAGTCATATTCTACATGTAACATTTTAAATTGGAGAGTCTAATAAAGTTCTAATGACTTGTGTTTGTCCTGCAGAGAGCCAGAGGGCGTATCGCTTTGTCCAGGGGAAAGACTGGGGCTTTAAAAAGTTCATCCGGAGAGACTTCCTCCTCGATGAGACCAATGGTCTCCTTCCCGACGACAAGCTTACACTGTTCTGCGAGGTAATATTTCTAGTCTTTCGGGTTTGTAACTTTTCTCATGACAATTTTCGTTTTATGGAGTATGCATTCCATTAAACGCCTCTCCTCCTCTCCTCAGGTGAGTGTGGTGCAGGACTCGGTCAACATATCTGGTCAGAACACCATGAACATGGTGAAGGTTCCTGACTGCCGGCTAGCAGACGAGCTGGGGGGTCTCTGGGAGAACTCGCGCTTCACAGACTGTTCCCTGTGTGTGGCCGGTCAGGAGTTTCAGGCCCATAAAGCTATCCTAGCAGGTACACACAAGACTCTGTTTAAAAGCTTTACTATGTGTGTGTGCGTTGTGTAATTATCTCATGATACGCCACATATTAACATTTCTGCTGTTGTCTTTCTGTCTGTCTGTCTGTGTGTGTGTGTGTCTGAATTCAGCTCGGTCCCCTGTATTCAGCGCCATGTTCGAGCATGAGATGGAGGAGAGCAAAAAGGTGAGCACAAGCTCCCAAAGCTTTTTTTTCATTCTTAGAAATAAATTCATTTTGTTCCTCTGTGTTTTTTCCTGCTGTGCGGAGGCTTTAAAGTGAGTGAAGGAGTGTGTGCTGTCAGACGGCTGCAGCACAGAGCTGTTTGGTGAAACTGAATGATAGGACACCTGAAATGAAATTGTCCTGCCGTACTTGAGGGTCAGGATTCATCCTTCACTGACAAAGCTACAGAAGCAGAGAATTGCTTTTTCTCATTTGTGCACATGCGACTGTGAGAAATGAAATTGCAGGAGAAGCTGCCCAGTTATTTCTTTCTTCAATACCAAGGCTATTTAAGATTTAATGTTGGACAACTTATGTGAAACTAAAGTGTTTGATCCAGTTAAAAATGGAGGAATGGTATTTAAAAAAGATTTTAGACGATACATGATATAAATCACTACAGATAACCTGTCAAAAGAGGTGCAGGTATTCTAGCGGTTAGTGGGAGTGTCGCCTGTACAGAGGCTTCAGTCCTCACGAGCAGGTGGCCTGGGTTCGAATCCAACATAGGCTACAAGCAAAATTACAATTCCAAGTATTCAGATTTTTCAAAATGTGATTGTCCGTAGAAAATGTTCCATTCAATCAGCAGAGTGAAATTTATGGAGGTACAGAAACTTTAATTTCATAATATGAATGGATTGTTTTCATTTCTTCACCTAAATTGGTTCATTTCTACAAATATTCATTCAACCTTTATTTATACTCAAGGTCATTGACCCTCATTTACAATGACATCACGTCATTACAGAATCACTGTAAAAAGGGAATGTTATTTCTTATATCCCCACATAGTACAGCTTACTTTACAGTTTTGGGCCATGTCATGTCTCATCATTCATAGTTTAAATACCAGGAGTACCTGATGAGAAATACCTGTAATAACTGACAACACTCAGGATGTGCAGGAGTGAGAAGCTTTGATAGATAACCGTTGTTGTTGTTCTGTTTCTGTCAGAATCGAGTGGAGATCAACGACGTCGAGCCGGAGGTTTTCAAAGAAATGATGTGCTTCATCTACACAGACAAGGCTCCAAACCTGGACAAGATGGCAGACGACCTGCTGGCAGCAGCGGACAAGGTAAACACGACAATCAGAGACAGAATCCGATTCAGGTTGACTGCCTAGTGGGGTTAAACTAACGAAGTTGAAGAGATTTTTCTTGTTGTGTTGTTGTTATAAATAACACATAAAAAATACAGAGCTCCAAGATAAAACTCATTTATTCAATAAAGTTGAATAAAAATAAACAAAATAAGTAAATCAAATTTTACAAAATGTGAGTGTCATGAAGAGCTGAATTGTTTATTTTACAGTTTTTTATTTATATCTTAAAAACAGATATTTTACTTCATTGACTTTGAGTTGTGACATCACAGACTTCAAGTTTTATCGTTATTTTCAACATTGAAATCATCTCTGCAACAATTTCCCGACCTTTCCCAGCTGCTGAGTGAATACTGATGTTGTGTCCTCTTTGTCAGTACGCTCTGGAAAGACTGAAGGTAATGTGCGAGGACGCGCTGTGCACCAGCCTGTCCGTGGAAAACGCAGCCGAGATCCTGATCCTGGCCGACCTGCACAGCGCTGACCAGCTCAAAACGCAGGCCGTCGACTTCATCAACTAGTGAGTTCACACAGGGGAAAAAAAAAAAAAAAAAAGAGCCCCTCATCACTTCTAATGAGGTCTCCGGATCCTTTTCACAGATTCACACATCATCAAAGTGTACAGAACGTTTTGTCTCTGTTGTTGTGTCTTTGTGTTACTTTGTGATGGTAGCAGGGCGCAGTCACTCTCTCGCCTCTTCTCCTGGTGTTAAATCTGATAATGAAGTTTCACATGTCCCCTCATCAAGCCTGGGCTGTCTGATACACATTGAGGCTTTCAAAGTGATCAGGGCAACCTGACTCGTCCCAACGTGCGACGTCACCGAAGATTGTGTGATGTCGGCTATATGTCAGGGATAAGATGATTAATTGATTCATCAACTGTTGCCGGAACAAAATAATTATTGATTTATTTTCGAGATTTTCTACTTTGCAGTATTCTTTGTTATACTATATTGATGCTAACCTGGGGGGTTGACATCTCTGTATGCATCATGTGATGGTTAAGTTCGAGTTTTAAATTGATTAACAAAAAGGTCAAGAAAAAAAAAACTCTGCTATACAGATTTGTAATCTTTGCTTTTTAGTTAAATATTGAAAATGTTCACCTTTTAAGAATTACCCAGAAAGGTTTAAAAAAAAAAAAAAAAAAAATCGGGTTTGTAGTTCAATGTTTGTGACTTTTTATACAAGTAGAGTTAAATTAAATCCATTTTTCAGTGGATTTGTGTTCAATGACACTCACTAGCCTAGCAACAACGATGGTACTAACAACCCATAACCCCTAAATTTCACCAGATGCGTGTTCCGTACATCTCCACTCCATCCGCGGCGGCAGAGCTGATAAGTTTCACTTCAGTCAATGTGTGTGCTTCCACCGCTCCGCTGCGCTGCATCTTAGCTCTGTATCAGCTCCGGCAGTCCGGAGCCCTCAGCAGCAATAAGCAAGGCTTCTATTATTGCTGGATGTCTGAGAACGGAGCATCAATTAACCACAGAGCAAATTGAGCACGGCAGGAAGCCGGACTGTGAATCAAAATGAAAACATCTGGATTATTTTCAGAATAAAACGCTCCTTTTTAACACTAGATCATGTTTTAACTACGTCAAGAAAACGTCTTCATGGGCGGACCCGCACACGCACCTAGTGGCAGTACTGAGTAATGCAATTATTTTAGTTGGAGCTAACCTCCTTAAAATAGATATTTGGTTGTGTGAACTTTTATATTACTCAGGACAAATACTACTACTTTTACTTTTTAATATATTTTTCTACATAAATGGGCCAATAGTCATCATGGAAAAAAACAGATTAATAAAGTATACAACCATAAGACAAAACCTGATGTATTTATTCTGTTTTACCAGGTTTTCTCTAAACTTCAGTGTTTTTTTGTCCCTCCAGTCATGCTGCAGAGGTGATGGAGACAGCGGGCTGGAAATCGATGGTGGATTCTCATCCTCACCTGGTGGCTGAAGCTTACCGCTCACTGGCCTCAGCTCAGTGCCCCTTCCTCGGACCCCCACGCAAGCGCCTCAAACAATCCTAACAGCCTCACAGGGAGGTGTTTACACTTCTGTGTACACACAACACATGCAGACACACACAAAAACACACATATACGCCCCCCGTGGAACACAGGGACATCTTTTCCCCTTTGCTGTTACCTACCACACTACCTACAGCCACCCCCAAATACCCCCCTTCTGCCCCATCAAACCTGCTGTATTTGTCTCTTCTGAACATGAAGGGAGGTGGAAGAGAAAGAAGGAGATGGACAAGAGAGAGGGGGCAGGTAGGCTCGTGAAGTGGATGTTTGTCGTTTACAAAAAAAAAATCCTCCCTTTTTCTCCTCGGGTCGGGCTTAGTGAGGTCTGACATTGAGCTCTTTCCCACGTGTGAAGTTAAATCCTTCGACATCCTGCGAGTACCTTCTTTGGGATCCATTCAGGAGGAAGAACTGGATACAACAACTATCCAATCAGAGCCATCTGTCTACAAATATGGAGGCTTAAAGCATACAGGAAAGTCTTTAACAGGCTATTTTATCAGAAGGCTTCTCTTTGCTGCGTTGGAGAAGACCCCAAACTCAGAGACTCATGGGACTAAAAAAAGAAGAAGCAGGCCTGTCAGTGACAAACTAGAAGCCCCCCTGAGAAAGACAACCAAGGGCTAGTAACACAAGGAGATATGGGACAAAATCATCAAAATAGTTCTCCCACAGAAAGTTGGGAAACATTGCACTAAAGTCACCCCTCTTCAACCTGTACCAGCAGTAAAGTAGAAATACTGTAGGCAAGCACACATGGACTAAAGACCCGGCAGGACCACCAAGAATAAGAACCCTTTAACGAGAATGATCCGAAAGTGACAAAGACAACATGTACTCCCATATCTATGCTTCATCTGCGTCCGTTTCCGTTTTTTCAAATACCTTAGGGGGGTTAAAAGTGTAGAGGATACAGAAAATAGCAACGCACAACTGGATGTCATTCTTGGTGAAACTGTATTTTGTCCGTGGATCTGTCTTTGTAGCCCCTTGAGAGAAAATAAAATCCAAGGTGTCAACGGACAAACCAACCAGGAGAACACAGAGGGAAGCGTAAAGTCCAAATAACATTAGGATTCAATCAGGCATATTAATGTTCTTTTATGGTGGATTTCTTATTTGTTTTTGTTTTTTTCCCTCAGAAGTGTCATTTCTATTTTTTTCATAGAAATTTGTACAGAGACGAGTGTTTTTGAAGCCGTGTCAGTAAACAAAAGCATTTTCAACGGTAAAATTGAAAAAAAGCAAACGGATGTTTTCTTTGCAGGCATGAAGACTGAGGGGAAATGAAATTGAAATGAACACGTTTTAATGTTCAGAAATGACCGAATGTGAATAAAAAAATGCAAACCGAGGCAAATCACATGACAAACATTTGAAGTTATCATTTTAAACCTGGTGGAAAATGGTAATGGATAGAAGGAACCGTCGTCGTTTCTTTCCTGTAGATATCGCTGGTTATGAGAAGTGACACTTAGTTGTTGCCATTTTTTGTTCCCAAAAGAATAAACCACAACTATTTTGTATTGAATGCAAGGCCATGTTTGTCCGGGTGTTTTTGTGTGAATTTGTGCTCCTGAATCTTTTATTTTCAGCCTTCTCATTGAAGTTCAGGAGGTTTATATGAAGCGATAATAGGTTTGATATAGAAGTCCAGTTTAGACTAAATACATGAATAATGGGGTGAGGAAAATGATTACTTTATTAACCGTTTATAACCATAAACACAAAGAGGATTGTCCTAGTTATTGTTTATTATCGTTTTCCGCTTTTAAATCTCTACAATTCATGCTGAAGTGGTTAACTTTCAGAAATGTGCATTAATAAGTATTTTTTTCACCGTGAAACAAACAACCAATTGTGTTGCAGCTGAAGGATCAATCGTCGATTTGTTAGCGTTGCTTCTACTGCTACATAAAAAGAGGCTGGTTGTCACTGTACCACAGTTTAACTTAAAAATATTTTTGTTTTGGTACATTATATCAGTTTTTTGCAGACTCAGACTGATGAGATTTATACAAGCGGGACACATTTGTTCAAATCTGCTGTACTTTTATTTATGTTTTATACTTCTAATCCACTACTTTCAGTTTACTTAAGTGGTGTACCTTTTACTCCACAACATTTATTTAAAGCTTATTAACTAGTTACTTTCAAGACACAACATCTAAGCAGTATCTTATCCTGCTGCTGTAGATAACAGCAGCGTACAGCACATCAAGTAGATCAAATCTTCTCCTGATCTGATGCAATTTTTTAACCCTTTTATTTTTTTTTCAAGCTTTTAAAAAAGAAGAATATTTTAACCTATGGTATAGCTATAGTTTTAATCTGATCGGATTACATTTGAGCAACTGGGGACCGGTGCAGGCAGATTTAAACAAGCTGTAGTGTAGTAAGAGTGCTGAGTGTGATTGTTGTTCTGCGGTGTAATCACCCTGTCACCTACATAATCCAGTTAGCAGCATGTGGTGAGATTTAACATCCATTCAGAAAATGTTACCTGGCTGTGTGAAGAGTGCAGTGACCAGCTACAACTGAAAACAATCTTTGGGCCCAGCCATGTAACAGTCCCAAACCCAGCTCTGAACCTCCTGAAACATTTATCAATCCTAAACCTCTACACTCCACACACACACACACACACACACACACACACACACAGCTCTCACCAGCAGCCTGCAAGACATTCACTTCTCTCTATCATGACATGGCACTTCCAATGACTCCCAATAGACCTTGATTACATGACTGAGATTTTATTCTGACTTCACGCGCATGGTGGGATTTAATTCATTATGTGGGTAATCTGAAATCCTTAATGATTTCAGCTGTTCCAGATGGATACGCGACTAAAAAGACAATACATTGTAAAAACCCTGAGGGACATTGCATTCTATCTCAAGTCAAAACATTTTCAGCAACCCATTAGCTCTCATAATACAACAGATAAAGCTAGCTTTAAGCTACTTCATGCTAAGCAGTGGCTTGTATTTATAGTAAAACAACAATTTGATTGTGTCAAAATACATGAATTTCACTAAACTCCTACTTATGAGGGAAATTTCATATAAGTAGCTGTGATTGATTTTCTAGCCAATTCCAACCAATGGAATATAATTATTTTCTGTATTGCTGATGCCAATTTAGTTTTCCTCGATTTGTTCCAATTCCTGGTCAGTCGGGAAGCTGTGGAATATCAACCACTTGTCAGATTATCAATTTATACATCTTGCAACCTGGAACGCAGCATGACCCCATTATAACAGTAGTTCAGCTTTGCGTCCTGAGGATGACTTCAGAAGAAAATGACCACTGTGTCAATATGTTCATCCATGTTTACTGAATGTGTCACTATAGTACATTTGAAATGAGGAAACCTTGCTTGCAAAGCTGTTTTTTTTTTCCAAAGATTTATTTTTGGGCTTTTTGTGCCTTTAATGGAGAGATAGGATAGTTGGAAATCAGGGAGAGAGAGAGAGGGGAATGACATGCGGGAAAGAAGCCACAGGTGGGATGTGAACCCGGGCTGCCCGCTTGAGACGACAGCCTCCATACATGGGGCGCGCGCACTAACCACTGCTCCACCAGCGCCCCTGCAAAGTTGTTTTTTATTGGAATAAAAGCCAAACATTAAACACATGGACAAAATAAATAACATCAGGTTCTCTCCATTGTTGAGTGCACTGGTACTCCTCTTTGCCTCCCTTAAAATACTTAGAGGGTCCATGAATAAACTTCCTTGACATCGATAGACGGGGTCTAGACTATTAAGTGAGTGATTTTAAATCTCCCCTCAGCTTTGAACCAAGCACTGATTTTACTCCACATACATCAACATCATATCTAGGAAATCTCACGAATGTAAAAATCAATTTCTATTTCTTATCGGTCAAGTAAGCCTCAGATCGTTGAAAGACTTTAATTTTCACCTGGACAAGACATGAGATATTAAGCTATAACAACAGTGAAAGTAAGACATATATATTTATTGTTACAACAAAAAGGATATTTGGACAAATATGACATATTACCCCTTGCAAAGAACATAATATACTCTATAATCTAACTGCAGCAAACTATTATTGGGTTAGCTATGTACTGTACAAAGATAATTGACAAACTCTCACTTACCATTAAGTACCATCAGCCTCTGAGAAAGTGGTGTAGTTAACTTAATGTTGTTGAGTTTCTTTGTTTTGCAGTGTCAAACCAAACATGAGTCCAAACACACACATGTCAAAAATAATCCTCAATTAGCAGCCCTAGTTCTAGCTTTTTAATTTACACAGTCTCAGACAAATATTGTTGTCTACAAAAAGCAAGATAGTGCACTCTAACATATACTATAGAATATTTTGTAAATTGTAAGACTTGAATAAAAACATAACATTGAATCCCTTTAAAATATTCTATTAAAGTCCATCAGAAAATGTCACAGCCACTCAAACATTCAAAATATTGTCCTTGGCTTGACTTCTGGTTAGCCTTTGGGTAGGTATGCTTCTGCACTCTGGTAATTGTAGTCCGGGCAGACTTTTTGAACCAGCCTGTAGTCCGTGCCATAGAAAGACACGTAGATGCAGATGACTTGGAAGGGTTTGGAGCAGACCCAGGTGACGTGGCTCTGCGTCTGCTCCTGAGCACATGTTTTGGAGGGGTCGTAGTTGCACAGTATCACCTTTTTGTTACGTTCAGTTTTCTCATACTCCACCCTGCAGTTAAACGTCTTCGAGTCTTTGGGGTTGACCACACTTTGGCGCTCAAGATCAAACTCCACCTCTTTAATGGGTGGGACGAGACTGACAGAAACATTGCCAACCCCGGTGGAGTTGTGGCGGAAGTAGACTCCAAGGGAACCGTTCCCGTGATCCACAATCTTGCCCATTATCAGCAAATTCAGTTTGACAGTTTTGATGTTTGAGTAAAAGTCACCCCAACTGAACGTCCGGTAGAATTTAGATGATCCGTGAACTTTCATGACAGGACGGAGCTGTAACTTTGAGGATGGATTGGAATAAGGCTGGGGATTTTCTCCAACTATTTCCAGATGTTCCTGCTTTATAAGTGGCAATATGGCAAGCTTTTGGTTCTGATCCAAACTCCTTGCTTTGGGAGCCCAGTTTTTCTGTTTAAATGGGTGTTGATCTCCATTAAGCTCTGGTGCAACTCCTTTGCAAAAGGTGAAGCTGCCATAATGTTCACCAAGAACCAACTAGAAAGAAAATTAGGAGGAACATTTGGACATTGAGTACAACATGCAGCCAAGGATTTGAATATTCAAACTGGCTCATAAAAGTCAGTACTACTATAAAAACTTTCCAAATTAAAAAATACTCGCAATATGTTATGCATGCAATCACCTCTAGGAATTATTGATACAAATACAGTTAGAAGATTAACCTACAAAAACACATTATATTTTAGCTGTACATAGGCATTTTGAATTGCACTGTAACTTAACATTTAAGAACATTAATGGTTGATTAGAAAAAAGTACATTAAAGTTAAATAATTACAAAACTCAAGTTATTGAATCACTAGACTTTGTTGTAAATGTGGCATGCATCTACTTTCACTTAGTGCTTTTAGATTTCTTAAAACTCACCAAACAAATTGTCCCTCTCAGAAGTATCCAAACACAGCTCTGCCTGGCAAACGCCTCCATAGTGCATGAAATTCCTACATGAAGATCCATCCACTGTCACCTGTTTAAGCCCATTTTAGCCGAGTTAACTTTGGGAAGCTCTTGTTGACCAGCCACACCCACATCAAACTGACAGAGACTCAGCAGGAGATGTTCTGCAGCTTCTACTCTCAGCTCGCGCACTGCAAGGTTTTCTCAGATATCCAGATTTTTAACAGTTAAGCTGTGTCTGCCCTCTCTCACTCCCTCATTCATCCCCCCCCCTCTCTCTCTCCCTCTAACCCACCCACCCAATCAAGCACACCATATATAAAGATAAGCACTGTGACCAATATAACACCTTTCTGTCACCTGTCCATCCCACCCCCTCTCTGAAAAAAACATCTTACATTAGTTTATGAGATGAAAAGGTTGATTGACATTTTTATACATGAGAATTTACTTTCATTCCGTGTTCAGGAGGCTGACTAGGCCAAGACAATGTGATACTGCCATCTTGTGGCCAGAGAACTGAGTGTTAGCTGAGCTCACAGTGCAGCCATATTGAAGCAACCACCCACTTTTAACTAAAAGAGAAACACTGACGTAGACTAATGAACAACTAACACACAATAATATGACACAGAAGGGAAGAAACACAGAGACTAAATAGACACAGGGTTAATCAGACACAGGTGAGACTAATGACACAGGTGAAGACAATAAGGGCAATCACAATGGAGGGAAAACACACAGAGGCAGGATAAAACACAAGAAACAGTAAAGACAACTATAAAAAGAATCAGAAAACTCCGAAGATAGAGAAATCGAAAATGTAACAAACCCAACTAGAACACAAAGAAACACCAGGATACGACGTTACAAAATAACACACAAAACTCCGAAGACCAAACTAGAAAACACACAAGGGAAACACCAGGGAAGAATGAGATCTAAAACAAGATAAATACATCTAAACTCTGAAAAACAAAACTAAAACAGACCAAATCATGACACAGACCCAGTTTAATTTAAATGATATCCCTTTAAATACAGCACACGCTTCCTTTGAAAGTGATGATGGTCCATTGCAAGTAGTTGACGATGACATTTCATTCAAGATTAAATCAAAACCCTTTATAAATAAATATGGTCACTTCTGGCTAAATAAACCAACATCCTCCCTGCAGTGGCGTCCATCAGGGATACAGTATGTGCCTACTGCTTATTCCACTGCTATTAACACATATTGTGAAGTTAACAGATAGGATAGGATAGTACTTTATTGATCCCCAGAGGGGAAATTCGGGTATTGCAGCAGCACAGACAAGTAAGGTCATACAAAATACACATTAAACAGAATAGATTAGATAAGATAAATAAAAATAAAAATAGGTGGTATATACAAGTACAAAATGAATGATGAAGTTAACTGCAGGGAATTGAGACAGTATGTGCAGGGAATGGCAAGATAAAGTGACAAGTGATGATTAAATTGACTTGGTAAGATCCATAGCATCAAGTAATGTAAAACAGCAGAGAAGAGAGGCAGTGTTGTACCACAGTAATGCCTAGTGCAGTTATATAGTATAATGTAGTATAATATAATAAAGTGCAATATAAATAATATACTGCAATATAATGAAATGTAATATAATATATAATATAGACTAATATAATAATAAAATACATATAATAAGAATATACAGTATATATATTGATGCTAAATAATAATAATACAGTATAATAATACAATGTTAGTAATGATAATAATGAAGCTTGTCATGGGGGTAGTGTTTACATGGGTGAAGTTTGGGCCGAACTCGGTCTCTTTCAGACATTAAGGCCACATTAAGCCTTTGTTAGGTGTGCGCCATCGGAAGGGCAACCACGTGGGACGAAGCAATCTTCCCCCCTCTTCCCCCTTCTCTCTCTCACACACACACACACACACACAACTACACTTTTACACCTCTTCCACAAGCCCTGCTTGATAATGTTTGTTGCTTAGATTAGTTTATGATAGTTATTTGTTTGATTAAGTTCGTTGATTTTGGATTGATGTTGCTTTGTTTAAATAAATTCTGTTATAATTTTAAGAGAGCAGTTGTTTGTGATTACTGGTGTATTTGCATTGTGATATAAGCTAGGTGCGAAGGTTTTGTGTATGGATTTCATGCCTTCAATTTATTAAATATAGTTATTAATTATTAATAATATTAGTAATTAAATAACTGATTTGAGACTGATTTGAGTGATATTTTGATTATATTTCCCTGAGTACAGGTCAGTGCCCCAAAATGAGATTAAACATTAAACAGTTTAATGATATTTTTATTTATATTATTAATAATTAAATATAATTATTAAAGAATATAACCAAAGTTGACTTGATACAACCCCAACAAGGGTGAGAGGAGTTTTCCAGGATGGATAAGATTTTGTCCCTCATCCTCCTCTCAGCCACTGTCTCCAAAGTGTCCAGATCAAGACCCCTTACAGAGCAGGCCTTCCTCACCAGCTTGTTCAACCTGTTTACCTCACCTCTTGATGCCACCCCACCAGCACACCACAGCAAAGAAGAGGGCGCTGGCCACCACAGACTGGTAGAAGGTCTTCAGGAGTGTGTTGCAGACACTGAACGATCTGAGTCTCCTCAGGAAGAACAGCCTGCTCTGTCCTTTCCTGAAGATGGCGTCAGAGTTGTGAGACCAGTCCAGTTTATTGTTGATGTGGACCCCAAGGTACTTGTAAGAGTCCACCCTCTCCACTTCCTCCCCCTGGGCGATGACTGGGGCAGGGGGCCTCTTCTTCTTCCAGTAGTCCATTACCACCTCCTTTGTTTTGCTGATGTTGAGCTTCAGGTGGTTGCTTTCGCACCATGTGACGAAGCTCTCTAACAGTCCTCTGTAGTCCTTCTTGTCCTCATTAGTGATGCACCCAACAATGGAGGAGTCGTCGGAAAACTTTTGGAGGTGGCAGGAACCAGAATTAAACCTGAAGTCTGACGTGAAGAGAGTGAAGAGAAAAGGCGCCAGAACAGTTCCTTGAGGTACTCCAGTGTTGCCCGTCACCACATCAGAGACACAGCCGTCGACTCTGACGTACTGTGGCCGGCCCGTGAGGTAGTTAAAAATCCAAGCTGTGGTGTCATGGTGCAGCTGCATATCCAGCAGTTTGTCCCTCAGGAGGCAGGGCTGGATGGTATTGAAAGCACTGGAGAAGTCAAAGAACATGACTTGCATAGTGCTTCCCTGTTTCTCCTGGTGTGACAGGGTTTTATGTGTCAAGAAGATGACTGCATCCTCCACACCGATATGCCTCTGATATGCAAACTGCAGCGGATCCTGGAAAGCAGTGAGCAGGGCCTCTCAAATGTCTTTATGACATGTGACATGAGTGCCACAGGTCTGTAGTCATTGAGAGCGCTGGGACGACCTTTCTTTGGAACTGGGACGATGCACGAGGTCTTCCACAGGTCAGGCACCTTCATCAGCCTCAGGGAGAGGTTGAAACGCTTGGGAGTGTAGAAACGAATAGGATCATGCCTTTGTGTTTGCAAATTAACTAACCCTAATTCTGCAAATGAAGCAAGATGAAATAGAAGTATTTTAAAGTCTTCTTTTGTTTAAATTAAACATGCCAGTGAATCATAATAAAGTATGGGTATTAAAGCACTAAGGGGGTGAGTGACACTTATCTTTCAACAAACTAACTCACAATCTTCATGCATTCTTAGCAGGGAATACACGCATGTGAAGAGGAGCTGGTCTCGCCGTTTGTCTTGTTATATTGTACCGTGTAGAAGTGAGTATATGACTGTATTTGTTTTGGACCCCAGGAAAAATAGCCAATGTGTATGCTGGTGCTAACGGGGATCCGAAGAAAGAAAGGAAGAAAGAAAGAAAGACATTAAGACACAAAGAAAGAAAGAAAGACATTGTAAAAATTAAAGAAAAACAAAAAAGAAAGAAAGAGAGATATAAAGAAAGAATGAAACAGATAAAAATAAAAATAAAAAATAAACAAAGAATGAAAGAAATAAAGAAACAAAAAAAGAAATAAAAGAAGAAAGAAAGAAGTTAAGACAGAAAGAAAGATAAAATGAATGTTTTACATGGCACTGAACCAACAAGGTGTGACCTGAAAGCGGGTCAAGATTATTGTCTTTTGATGTTTATGTTTAATAAAAGAAGGAATGTTGATGTTGATCAGTTTCCTGTAACCGATATCATAACTGACAGCTTAGACACATTTAGGAATCCTTTTAGCAAGCCAGTAAAGTTAAAAAAGAAACATGGATAAATAATTGCTGTTGATTTGTTCAGGTAATAGGAACAAGGATTAAAGTGCACCTTTGCATGCAACCAAGCTCATGTTGCAGCTTTTATTTTTCTAAGGATCAAATTTCGTATGCTGATTTACAAGAAGGAGGAAGAATTTAAAGTAATCCAATGCATCTTCCTATTCCGAACAAAGTTTAATCCGTCCTTTGTTATCATGCTCTTACCAGATGAGCGTGTGCAACACTGAACAGCAAACACACATTTAAAGTAGATATTTAAAAAAAATGTTTTTATTGATTTTATGCCTGAAGAATGAGTTGGCCTTGGTGTTTCAATCCTTGAGGTTTCTGCAATGCAATTGGCCGAAGTTGGATTGTTCTTGGCGATAATGTTGAGGCAACTGTCTTTGCAGCCTACCTGCTAAGGAAAAAGACAGTTTGCTGTATTTACCCATTCAGAGTCTTACCTGTGGTAAAACCTGAGAAAGCCAGAGAGAGTGTTACAATCCAGGTCATACCAAGTCTCCAACCCCATGATCCACACCTTTGCATCTTGGCCATTTTCTAAATAAAACTGATCTGCAGGGAACTGGCAACTGGTTAAGTGTTTTACCTTATAAATCAGGAACCCCCTGGTCTTTGCCATATCTAGGGTATGACTCCTTATATCCATGTCACTTTCATTATGTTCCAGAGGTACTTCAGGACAACAGGAATGTTCCCATAGAGCCAGTTTGGAGCACCATTTGGGCCTGGGGCAGATGCTGTTCACACCTGTGTTTCTACCTTGCTCTATGTTGGTGGCTTTGGCTCTGACTGATGGTCAGATGCATGTATTGGTTGGCAAATAACATCTGGAATGGTTACTGGCTTATGCCTCTGGTTGTCAACGTAGGTCTTTCTCAGGAGCTCATTCAGATTTATTTTAGGTACTCTTCTATTCTTTTATCCTATTGGG